GGGGGATGGTTTTAGGATAATTTAAGCACATCACATTTATTGTGCAGTCAGACCTCTCTGCTAATGATAATCTGTATTTGCAGCCGCTCCCCAGCGCTAGCATCACTGCCTCAGCTCCACCTCAGATCATCAGGCATTAGATTGTCATAAGGAGCCGCAACCTAGATCCCTCGCATATGCAGTTTACAGTAGGGTTTGAGGTCCTGTGAGAGTGTAATGCCACCGCTTATCTGACAGGAGGTAGAGCTTATCTGGTGATGCTAGAGATGGGGAGCAGCTGTAAACACAGATGAAGCTTCCACTGGCTTGCCCACCACTCACCTCTTGCTGTGCGTCCCGGTTCCTAACAGGCCACGGACCCGTGGTACCAGTCCGTGGCCTGGGGCTTGGGGACTGCAATATTAAGAGACTACAAAGCTTCCAGAGTATATTTCTCAAACAATAAATATAGGAAGCAATAATTCAATTTAAGTAAGTTGCTGGAGGGCTGATTTACGTTTCCAAGATCAGTTCCAAGCCTCAACCTCAAAGTAAATCTCAAGTGTAGCCAAGTTTTTAAACACCGCAGATCAATACACTCACATCAGAACATTAAGGAAAGAGGAAAAGCAAACTGTCATATTCATCTGGCCACCTTGGCCAAGGGAAATATGAACCTAAGATGCTGTGTTGGTTTGAAGTAATTTAAAATCCATCATTTCTGTTTTGCTGTTGTTTATGGCAGCCCACCAATGTGAAAATTGTGGAAAAGAATTCTTGTTATTTCCTCCTCCAAACTAGGAAGAGGAAAGTAAATATTTAAGGAAGAAGCACTTCAGTATTATAAAAAAATATTTTATAACACTTTACAGATTCTAAAGCATTTCACATACTCAAAATTCTTTCTTTCAGCACTTCTCAGTAGCCTACCGTGCCAAGCATCATTTCAGATTTATCCAGACAAAGTCTGTGTCCTTTACGAACTTTTAGTAGTGGGAGAGGCAGCCACATAAATGACAACCACTTGGAGAAACACCCCCCACAAAAAATTTACAAAGATTTATGGGAATTTTTGGTTAATAATTTTAGGAAGTAGTTGGGACACATAACTACTTCCTTGTGGCCAGAACTCTTTCCTCGCTCTTCTGAAATATTTCGGTCTTGAGGAAAATATAAATTATGTATTTTTATTACTAGAAAAAAATCAAAGTGGTAGTCAAAACTATAACATTTCAATCTTTATTATAAGTAAAAGACACTATCTAGTCAAAGTATAATTTTTAAAAAGTCAAAAACATGACTCTCCTACAAATATAAAATTAACACATTTAAAAATTATTTACCTCATTAATGAGGGAGCCAAGACCATGGTAAAGTTGGTCCCAAGAATTCCTGATTAAATAACTGGGAATTTACAAACACTTAGAAGAATATTAGAATAATACTTCTGGGTTAGATATACACCTAATAGCCTACAAGGGAATTAAACCATAACTTTTGAGGTGATCCTGTCTACCAGACAAAAATCTAAAAAAATTAATGTGTAACTTCATAGTGTCTGGGTTCTAATCAAATAGTAAATAGCAAGTTCAAACACTGACACATTTGTCTGGAGAATTAAGCCCTGATCGGGTCATTCCACAACCCCCCGTGACTGCCAGGACATGCCTCCTCTTACTCCACACCTGATTTCTAAGATTTGGGTAGTTTTTCTTAATCCTAGTGAAGTGGTTAAGATCATAAGCATTCTGCTTGGGTTCTTAGCTGGGAGTGAACTAGCTATGTTAAAGCCTTTAAAATGATTTTCTGGAGAGGGAGAAGTTGGTCTTGGGAGGCTTCACGGAGAAGGGGGAATGACAGCTACATCTTGAAATGTGAATTGGCTTTGAAGAGAAGTCACAGAGAAATTTCATCAAAGAATCTCTTAGGCTCTTCTCACTAAGAGCCTGTTCATATTCAATTTTAGACTTTGTGGGTGTTACCTTTTTTTTTAAGAAACAAGGTCTTGCTATGTTGCTCAGGATGGACTTGAACTTCTGGGCTCAAGCTATTCCAAGTAGCTGGGACAACAGGCACTGCACCACCATACCCAGCTTAGCTGTTACTTTTAATAAGCTTGGTTATGAGGTTTCCCTGCTAATTGCAAGCAAATAATTGCAAAAGGGCAGGTAGACCACAAAAGGCAGAGGTAGCAACCAATAGAAAGGGAAGAGAGAGAAAATCTACAGAGGAAGACACAGACATTTAAAGAACCTCATCGATAGACTCAGGCTCCCAGTGTGGGACAAACAGCCTCTAGTGTAATAATTAATGCTTGTAATAATGACCTTTGGCATCAAGAAGAGGTTAAATTACTTTTAATATCCTCCAAGAAAGAAAGGAAATACGTAATATATTTGAATATGATTTTGACCACATGATTAAAATAAGGTTAGTGATTAAGCAGATAAATTATGCATTTCTTTGACAGTTCTGAATAAACATGTTACTGTACACAGTTTACAAGGTGCTCTTTATTCTTTGGAAATTAAAATAATTTTAATAAGAACACAAAATTACGACATAAGTCAATAGAGAAAAATGTGATTTTTCAACACCAGCTTTGCTTTACAGGTAACTATTGGTCTAAAGTGAAAAGTGTCCGGGCTCGGTGGCTCACGCCTGTAATCCTAGCACT